AAAAAAAAAAGTCAAATATTGAATTTGAGATATTAGATCAAAATTGAGCTTGAGGCTTGTCGTTTTTTTTTTTTCTGCCTGCAGGGGTATTTGATAGTCGATCAACCAACCACATTAGTTGCTATGATTCTTCTTGCGCTTCTTTCTGGTTGACGGACCCTGGGCGGGGGCGACACGCGGCAGGGGCGGGTCGATGTTTAGCTACATATATACGTGCCATAATAGTTGTTCAATAATTTGTATATATGTATTGTATATATATATATAACATTATGTATTATTGTATATAAGCGAATAAAAAAAACTTGATTAGGTCGTTTTTCGTTTTGAAGTTACTTTACAGTTTCTATACATAAGTATTAATACTTAAAAGCTTAAATTTATCGAATAAATTTTCGAAATTTGTTTTTTGTTTGGTTTTTCGATTTTGGTATTCTCTTTTTTTTCCCATCCTTTGTCACTTCGTTTGCGTGAATATGCTTTTCGTACATATATATTTTGTATATAATATATGTATGTATGTTTATATTATACAATTGATCATTCCCGATGTGCTCTATATAGTGTACAGTATTAGTCTAATAATAAATCCTTCTTTAGCTGTACTGTAAATGTAGTTCATTTATATATATGTATATATATATGTGTATGTACGTGTACGTGAGTGTTTGTGTGTGTGTATTAAAAACTCACTGGCTTTACGGGCAGTGCTTAAGCGATTTCTTAGTTCTTGGATGCTAGGCTGACCTCTGGTCACACTGCTATCGTTTTGTTTTTGTATTTGTGTTTAGCTTACTTCCTTCTCATATTTGTCTTCACTTTAGAATTCCACTAACAACTCCGCTAACTAACTACACAAGTATCGAGTTTTAATATCTGCATAATGCCTTTAGTTTATATTTGTATATTGCTGTAGTTCATAAATATATGTATGTATATATATTTATATAAATGTATGTAGATTTATTTATTTAACTGTAGTACTTGTTTCTGGTGTCAATTGGTGTCTTTCGGCTCAGCCGAATGTGGGGGCAGTACGTTTACATTATTTATATTGCTATTCTGTTAACACACACGATCTGGAATTCCAGTTGGGGGTTTTGGTATTTTCGTTTAGGCTACGCGTTGATTTTCGTTTAGCTACTGCTATTAAATATACAGTTACTTGTGTATAGCTACATACGTATATAGTATGTATGTATGTATGTATGCATGTATGTATGTATATGCGCACTCGGAATGTGCTAAGTATTTGTTTTGTTTCTAGTTTAAATTTGTTAATAAATGCATTTTTGTTAAGCTTATGGTTACATTACAATAAAAATCGCAAGGTCCGAACTGCTCTAATATCGGCTCTAACCTGGCGCACAACCCAATTACCCACGAGTCCCTATACCAATGCCGGTCGCACACACACTTGCTCACGCACACCTACACACACACACACGCTCGCACACTCGCCCATACTCGACCGTATTATTATCGAAAAAAAAAATTGACGACAAAATTCATTTAAAAAAAAAAAACCGTTGAACTCTTGCTCCCCCTCTGCAGTTGTTTCTCCTTACTAACTAATTGAAGTGACCATGCACTTGATTTTAGAATTTCTCGATTATTTAAGACCAATTTGACGAATTCGAATTTGAAGCAATTTTAATAAAAAACCGTTTTCATTTTTTGTTTTTTGTTTTTTTTTTTCCTAAATTGTGAATTTTTGTTTAACGGCTTTTAAAATCGCAACTATATCTATATTTTCTTCTTTTCTTTGGAAAGTTTCTAATTTCTAAATGCGCCTTTCCTTTTCTTCTTATTTGTGGAGAGTTGGAGGGGGTAAGGGAGCTTCGTGTTGTCAAAGCTCAAAAGTTCGAATTTTTTTTCTATTTCTTAACTTTTGTTTTTCTTTCCTTCTGTTTTAAGTGGTTCCGGCCTACGTACGTACTCCTACATATAACTTTGCATATGACGCTATATAATACAATATTTTGTCCCATATTTTGCTTTGTGTTCTTGGCATTATCTTCATCTATATATTTTGTTTGTTTTGTTTCCTTCCTTGTGTTGCTTGTTCTCGCTGTTCGGCTAAAAGTTGTTGCAATAAAAATGCCTATTATCAAAAAGAATATACCAAATATCGTGTATATATGTATGTATGTATATATAAGTATATGTTTAGTATAAGTGTGTGTGTGTGTTTGTGATAGCTAGGATCTGTATCAAGTGTGTTTGTATATATACAAAAAGTCCAGTTGTGGGTTCAGTTTTTCCATTTCAGTTTCAAGTATTTCTCGTTTGGCTAATTTGGCCCTAATTGTTGGAATGCGTTAGGAAATCAATAAAATGGGCTTAGGATTGGGATGCGAAGCGCAATTCAAGAACCAAGGAACACTCAAATATGCTACTAAATGCCGATTCTGGCCACTATCCGTAGCTCGTGGAGCTGAGCCGGGGCTGCGCTTACAGCTCGGTGACCGCATAATTGCTCTCGTCGGTTATCGCCGGCGGCGGCGGCGGCAGATCGTCGTCGTCGTCCAGGACACCCGGGTTGCCCACATTGGCGCCAGCGGCTGCGGCTGCTGCTGCTGCTGCTCCTGCTCCGCCACCACCGCCGCCTGCACCGTTGAGCAGGACAAGGCCGTTGCCAGCCTTGCCGTTGGCAGCTTGGAGACGGGGCTTGGGCGGCGCGTTGTCCGCGCTGTTGCCGAGATGCGTCTGTGCCTCCATCGGAGGCGGTGGCAGTGAGGCGTCTTCGTTGTTGGGGCCGCCACTGCCGCCGCCGCCGCCGCCATTCTGCTGCACTGTGTCCGCTTGCGCTGTGGGCGGCGGCGGCGAGGTGGGCGTGCCAATGCGCGGCGGCGGTATGGCCTTCATCTGCGGCGGCAGCTTCATCGGGGGCCGTTGCAAGGTCCTAAACAAGGGCAAGATTGAACAGAATCGGAAGGTTTGAGAGCGGCGTCCGCATCAAGCGACCAACTTACTTGGAATAGTTCTGCGTCTGGTGCTGCTGCTGTTGCTGCTGCTGCTGCTGATAGATGGACTCCACCTTGGGCTGCTCCGCATCCTTGGGTATCTCAGGCAGGGGGCAATTGAGTATCGACGGCTTGTACTTGGGATCGAACTTGCCGCCCTGCCGCAGCGTCGAGCACTTGTATATCTGCTTATCCCGATCATATATGGCCGAGTCCATGGCGGTGCTGATGGGCACCACCTCCGTTTCGGGCACCTGCTGCTGCTGCTGCTGCTGTTGCTGTTGCTGCGGCGACTTCAGCTGATGCTGTAGCATCTGCTGCTGTTGCTGCTGCGAAGGCGGCGGCGGCTGCTGCTGCTGCTGGGCATGCTGTGGGTGGGCGTGGGGATTGGGCTGCTGCTGCTGCTGCTGGTGGGGATTTGGAGGGGGCTGCGCCTGCACCGGCTGCTGGTGATGATGGGCCGGTATCTGGGGGCCACCCTGGCTATTCTGGCGCCGCATTGTCGCCAGGTTGGAGACGTAAATGGAGCCCTGGCTGACCGCCACCAGCGGCTGATAAATGGAGTGCGGATTGCCATTGGGCGCCAACTGGCCGGCCAGATGGGCAGGGATCTGCTGATAGATCTGGCTCTGGCCCGGCGGCGGCAAATGATGCTGCTGCGCATGATGTGCCGCCGCAGCTGTCGTATAGGTGCCATACTGCTGCGCCTGGGCCTGCTGCTGATGGTAGATGGCGTGCTGATGTTGCACGGCGGCCGCAACGGCTGCCGAGTGCGAATGGGGATGGGCGTGTGGATGAGCGTGCGGATGCTGGTGAGGATGATGGCAGTAGATTGGCTGCGGACCCAACTGTTGTTGCTGCTGCTGCTGCTGCTGCGCCTGGGCGTGCGCGTGGGCCTGGGCCACCTGGGCCTGTGTGCTGGGCGGTAGGGAGGAAGCGGCTGCGGCGGCGACGGCGGCGGCTGGCGACGATTTTCAGTAAAAGTCATTGGCTTCCAAAGTTTTGCATTGTTTGCTTAGGGTTGCATATTTACCGTTATTGGGACCTAAAATGTACACACAATTAGCAAGGCGGATGAGGATACGGAATGCGGATGCGGATGCGGATGTGACGGWTTTATGGAGATGGACGAACGTCAGACGCATGATATGAGAATGAGGTAAGTAAATGGGCAAGAAACTAGAAACGGAAAGTTCATCAGCCGGTTCGAGAGAGGGTTTACGTAGCGTCGGAAAGGAGCAACTACTTTGGAAATGTCAACTACTTTGGAGATGCCAACTCAAACTCTTACACATATGTAGTTGTAAGATTGTATAAATGTATGAAGATAGTATAGACATATAGATCCTATCTTTAGAACTAAAAATAATTTGCCTTTAGTTTGACTTTGAAATCCTAAGATGCTGAAATGGAGTTATCAAGCTGAAGCGAGCTTCTGATGAATGAATCGAACTGCTAATATTATCCAGTGTTTCGGATAAATAAACTAATTCTATTCAATAAGATTTAATATATATTTGTATTAGCTTCGAAACAAAATTGCATTCATCTGCTTTCATCATTCCTTCCCTAGGATGTCAATGGGATCTCAAATTAAGGTACGGTTAGAGCTAACTTCTGCGTCTACTATAAATCTATAGGTTGAGTGCTATGTACAGCTTATATTTAGATAGGATTAATATTTAAGATATTATTTGTATTTTAATCTAAGATACTTCTATCATACATAAGATATTATTCCTATCCCAATACTTATAACCTCCAGTTAGCTGTCAAGCATTGATCTATAGTCATTTTAGATATAATCTATACTTGTCTATGAGAACTGAACAAGACGAAGTTGAAATATGAAATTTTCATTTTGGTTAATTAGCTGAGTTCAAAAACTTTGATCAAGCCGAGCTCATATAATATAATGCCCAATAGATATCATGATAAAGCGAGAGACGCTGATGTAGAAAGAAAGAGAGATGGGCAGAGACAGAAAGAGAGGTGAGAGAGAGAGAGAGAGAGTTGGGATAGTGCAGGTGATGCTAATAGTGCTACTGATGGTATTTACTATGGTTGTGTTTGGGCTGTTGTGGGGGGTTGGTGCTGGGGTTGGTGTTGGGGCTGGTGTTCGTGTTCGATGCTGGCATTGATGTGTTGGTGGTATTCAGGTAACGGCACTTGCACTTACCAGTCATGTGGGTGGGGCTGTGGTTGTGCGAGGGCAGTCTGCCCAGCGTATGGGTGCCCATAGCCCGCATGTTCTGCTGGATGTGCGCGTGGGCCATCATCTCGTGCTGCTGTCGCTTATTGGGATGCTGGAGCGTGTGGGAGCCACTGATCACCGGCGGACTGAAGTGCCTGCAATGAGAGCGGTTTTGCCGAGCTGCAATGGGATCAGTCTAGGGATCAACAAACACCTACCCGTTATGGTTGCGTGGCAGCGTGCGTGCCGCATTCATCATCTGCTGATGGTTTTGGGGCGCCGGATGCGATATATAGGATGGCTCGTCCACCTGGGCGTAGTCGTTGCGCTTGCGTATGTAGATCCATGTGTGCGAATCGACCCACACCATGATCGTCAGCAAGATGGCCGCTATGAAGCTGGCGATGAGCATCAGCACCAGGCCCAACAGGCCGCCCTCGCAGAGGCCACGTGCCGCGGCCAGGAAATTGTGATGCACCGCCTTGCAGTCGACCAGGGCGGTCAGCTGGGTGAGCAGACGTTCGCTGCTGTTCAAATCGGCATTGACCGCACCCAATTTCGGCTGCAGGCCCGAGCTCTTGAAGAGCACCAGTGAGATCTTCATGACGGTGGCCATGGCGCTGCGGGCGTTGTTCAGCGAGTTCTGCGACTCGCGCAGGCGCTGGGTGAACGGGTTCGTGTGGCCCGGCTCGCATTGGGTGTAGTGCAGCAGGACATTGGTGGGCAGGTCCCGGGGCGCTGTCGAGACCAGGAAGTCGGCTGGGCTGATGCACAGGTCGCCCACGGCCACCGACGACGACAGATACAGGCCGGACATCAGCCAGGAACCGGTGACGGCGAGCAGGCCGCAAACGCTAAACAGTATTAGGGCGCAGCGCGAGTGCCGTGCCACGCCCACTAGCAAAACAGCACAGAGCACAAGCAGCAGAGCCAGGGTGGCCACCGTGCCGGGCCAGCGGATTAGCTCCCATTGATCGCCGCGCTGTGCAATGAGATTAGAAACGGTTTAGGGGTCAAGGATCAGGCCAGGGAGAATGGGGAGGTGGGTCGCGAGGGAGCAGCTAATGATTAAAGCACAGCTAGCTAACGGTACTACTCACGGTCAGAAAGTGCGTCATCGAGATGCCCATCAACGGACGCCGGATATCGCTGGCCGCATTGGTGGCCAACGTCACGTTGCCCTGAACAATATTGAGCGAGACAAAGAGCTTGGAGAGCGCCGTCTGATTGGACACCGGCTGATCGAAGATGTCCGCCAGCTCCACCAGCTGCGGCCGTATGCGATTGGTCAGCGTATTCTCCAATATGTGCGTCTGATTGCGTATGGTCGTCACCAGATTGTCCACCTTCCGGCCGGCGGTCAGCACCTCCAGCAGTCCGTTGTGCAAGTCGTCGTTCCCGTAGAGGCCCAGTCCGATCGCCGCACAGCACATCACCGTGACGATAGAGAGCGCCACCTTCAGGCTGGTTATCGAGTGGGCTGGGCGTGGCTTCCGGTCGCAGCAGCGCGTCATCAGATAAAACAACAGTCCCAGCAGCGAGACAATCAGCAGGGCTGCTGGCACCGATCCCAGTATGCCCAGGCTCTGATCGTGGGCGAGAGAGAATCAATTAATCAATTTCGTTGTACAGTGCGCATTCGCTATGATGTTCAGCTCGATAAGAGCTGGGCTGGCTAATGTTAGTGTTGTCTTAATATAGAGCTAAAGCTAAGGAGCCACTTTGAGACAATTTAGCTATAGCTTATCGATAATTATCGGTCTTACAATCAAACTCTAATACTATGTGCGATATTAGGAATTTCAGTTTACATACAAATTTGTGTCTAGCTTGAAGGTAAGTAGCCAATCTTAGATCAGTATCTTACCGATAATTTATCACTCCTTCTATGAACAATAACTATATAAACGGAATCATATAAGCACAAATGAATTTAAAAAATAATACTTTTTTCTACATTACACGAAATTTTAAAAAATTTGAAGCAAAGGTATATTATTATTATTATATGTGTTATATTTTATGATATATTTTCCCTCTGATTTCATTCTAGGTTACTGCAGAACTCAGTCGAAATATAGACTCAAGCACTATATAGGCATTTGACTGTTGGCTTTTATCATAATTACTATCATTGTCGGTTAATTTGAATGTAAGTTACTCAGCTTGGATTACTGCGATAAAATAATTATAAAATGATGAAATGCTGATATAAAATCAGAGTTATAATCAAAGTCTATTTCTATCCAAGTCTATTAGATCAAGGATTTAAATATGCTCAAAACATATAGCTATGATAGCTCTTAGCTTAGATATAGTTGCAGCTAACTAAAATTCGTACTCAAAGTAGTAGATATACCGTTTGATTGACATTATTGCATGGAACGTGAGGGATGAGCGGAGATAGGGCTTACCTCCAGGTAGATCTCATCGTTGGGCCGGAACGTGCTGTTGATCTTGTGGAAGGTGATGTTGTAGTGGGGCAGTGCGTGCAGCAGCTTGGCTATCACCGGCACTTTGTACTGATCCGTAAACTCATGATAGTCGCCCATCCTGGATGCGGGACTGGCCGTCGAGTGCTCGGACCGCGTTTACCAAAATGGCCCGGTTCGTAAGGCTATGGAGTGTGGAAATGGTAATGAAGGCGCTAAAGGGGCGTGCAAAAGCTCCTGCAGGTGTCGACCCGTCCTCGTCCTCGTCCTCTACTTCGTCACTGTGCTTCGTGCTGTCGGTGCAGAGTTTTAAACTCTTGACATCAAACTGTCGCACACTGTGAGGGAAAGAAGCAACATGGTAACACAATTAGTTCACAAGACTCTTCAAGGATGTAGCTCATTCATTTATTCATTCAAAGGGAAAGGAGAGTTAGGCGTGGTTTGGCACGTTCCAAACGCTGTTCAGATATCTATAGTGTGGTAAGTATATATAAGTGGGTACACACATACAATCTCGAACAGATGTATGTATGTATGTGGAATATGGAGCGTACCGACGTGTGTATGCTATGTATGCGATACTAGGTAGAGTCTATATGTATGCTATACCGACGTTAAAAAAGACGAACTTTACAACTTTTTATCTGAATCACTTTTTCAGGTCTGTAAAAGTATCAGATGAATATGCATAAGTAATGACAGGAAAAGAAATGTGGCTCTAGTATTGTCCAGTTGGCTTTTGCTCTACTATTAAACATACTTTTCAACACGAGCCGTTATCTTTTTTAGTATTTTGAGTGAATCACAAATTCCGCTCCGAGCTCATTTAAATTTTAGGTATTTTTCATCTCGCACAGAGGAAGAAGATCTCGCACACATTTTGCAATTTAAACAAAACACAAACGATTATCTGGCTGGGCAGAATGTGAGACGCTGTGTGTGGGAGTGTGAGTGTGTGTTTGCCATGGGGTGTATACATCTGTGTGTGCGTGTGTTTGTTGTGTGGGCATGGCCTTTATTATTTAATAAGCATGTGGGCGAACGCTGGCCGCCCAAAATGAGCCATGTTGCAGCACTTTAATTAAAAATTGTCTGTGCAACGCGTTCTTGCTCCCATTTTTTTTGCCCAGTGCTACTTCCCTATGCGAACTGACTGACACAAACTCGCACACACACACGGACACAGACACCAGGCAGAGTCCGAGCCACAAGCACAGGCATAGTGACAGCCACACACGTACACTGAAAGAGAAACGCACACGCACACCCTTAAATCTCTGCGTTGTCGAAAGCCCGCACACTCTGCTCGAGCGTTCTGTTATTGACGCTGCGGCTGCCCAGCGCAATAGCAATTTTGTTCACTTGTCTTCCTCTTGCTCTGCTCCTGCTCTGCCAGCCGAGTGCGAATACGAATAGCGGTAAAAAGGTATCAACCAGGCGCTCACTCATTGACTCGCGCTTACTCTCTTGAAGTGTCAGTCTGCCTCTCTCCATCTATCTATCTCTCTCTCCCTCTCGCTCTTGCTCGCTCTTTTTTGGCATGCTCTTTCAGCTACTTGCGCGCTCACGCTGTTATACTTTTCTTTGTTGTTGTTGCTGCTGCTGGTGGTATTCCCGTTATTGTTGCTTTTGTCCTGCTCCAGTCGTCGTCGTCGTTCGTTCGTATGGGTGTGTGCATATGTATGTGTTTGTATATATATTGATTAAAAGTTCGCACTGCTTCCTTATTCCTTATTCCTTATGTTCGGTCTCGCGCTGTGCTCGTGCCACGCACTCGTAATTGCAGCGCTTGTCGTCCACCTTCCTTCCACGGCCCCACCCGCCCACACGCCAAATGCAGCGCAGCATCTTGCGCTTAGTTAGTTGTTGTCGCTGTCGTTGTTGTTCTTGTTACGGCTTTGTGCTTTTAGCCAATTGGGCACTGCAACATTTGACAGTTGCCGTTACAAATGCGACCACAGCAGCCCGCTGCCCACAGCCCACAACTTACACGCCCACTGCACACGGAGGCAGCAGCACGAGCGCATGTGTGCGTGCATGTATATACAAATACATATATATGTATATGTATACAATTTACATACGCACATACATACATACATACATATTTATATTGCTCGCTTTTTGGGACACGCATAATCAGGAGCACACCCACTCTATCTCTGGACACTGCAAGCTTCCAATAACAGCGAACAGAACCTGCCTGCTATACACACTCACACATACATACATAAATCTATATGTATGTATGTAAGAATGTAGAGATTTTTACATTTCTAACTGCATTTGCATAGTTGGCATGTTCGCATTTCGTGCAGAGTGCGGCACAGGATATTACAACAAACACTCCCTTTTTTCATTTTGTTTTTTGTTTTTTTTTTTTGCTTTTGCCAAATGGGTACACAATTTTTCACAACAAACAAAGCTGGGGAACACTGGGAGCTTAGCTGGGAGCCTCGACGTACGCCGCATTCGCGTTCTGCTTACTTTTAAATTTGATATTCGCCAGGCACAAGACCACGAAACGTATATTTATACGGCAACGGGGCACTTAGCTGGACAAGTTTTTAGCATTTTCACTGCTGTTGTTTTTATTTGATTTGTATTCGAATCAGTTGCGTTCGTTTTTATTTAACTCTTTTGTTTTTTAGATTTTTCTTTTATTATTTTTTGTTTTTCTACTTTTTTTCTTTAGTTTTTATTGCAACGTCGTTGAGGCAAACGTCCTGCAGGAACTTTACATTCCGAAGACTGAGCAAAGTATGAAAAGTTTTTCTCGTCCAACTTGGTCACACCCTCTACACTACGCATACGATGTTGGTGTGCCATAGGCTACACGCGTAACAGTTACAGGATAACAGGAGACTAAAGTCCTTTCGGCGCTCTTACGCTCCGTGCGCAATTTCCCACCCCCTCAGAACATTGCCAGTGTGTACCCACGAATGCGCATGGATATTGTTACATGACGAGTGCATGTACACATTGGTAAAATTAGAAACTAATAAGATGATTCAAAAACATCAGAGATTCCAAAAAATTCAATCAGAACGAAAAATGCCGCAGCCTATAAAACTACGGCTGGCCTTTGAGGAATGAATGACCCATCATTCAGTTACAAATTTAAAGTATTCTCTCCCTCTCTTTCTCTCACTTGATGATCTTGATAAAAGCTTAGTTCACTGTTAGTTGGATCTTTTCAATGTCATCGAAGTGCATACACAACCGTATTTGACCCGCGCTTGATAAGAATAAATATGAACCGTTGACGTCAGTCCGGGCTAAGACTATATTTTAATCAACAATATCGTCCTGCACATACGTACATGTAAATAGATTCCGGATGGATGTCAATAGGATATATGTATGTACATATTTACATCTATGTATGTACATATATATGAATGTGTGTATGTATTTCTCTTGCTAACACTTTCAAAATTCAAATACTGCATAAATTAATTAGACTTTACGTCAACAATAAGTTTTCTTGTAAGTCGAACAATTATTTATATTAATATACTTGTTATTTTTGAGTCATATTAAACTTGTGTTTTATTATATTATTTATATTGATATTCACACATTTTAAGTCAAAACCAGAAATAACTAAGCCGAAGATGATCAATGCGCACATTTGAATACAAATATTAAATATCGATATGGCGCTATCGCATGGATCGTGCTGTTTTTATCGATTTATTTTTATCTTTTTTTTAAATATCGTATTTGAGTAATCGATTGAGTGCACACATCGATTAAACTGCCATCGCTAGAATGAGCACAGGCACATATTCATTGAAATAGCAATAACAAGAACGGGCTCACAGCCGTTTTCGCCGTCCGTCTCCGTGTCCGTGACGCAAAATTATTAGTTTTATGCTACTCTCCGCTCCCACACAAGAAGCAGCAGCAGAGTGCGTAGCATATTCAGTATGAGTGTTTTACCGTTTGTGCGCGGCGTTGATTTTACTAAAAATGATTTCAGCGTAAGTATTGTGTGTGTTGTTGTTGTTGTTGCTGTGAAGCTAAATGCGGAATGTAAATGCAAATGCTAAATTAAGTGCTGATCGCTAGCTGCTAGCTGATGACTGTTTCACCTGCGCAAGCGGGTCAGCGCCAGTCCTAGATTAATAGTTCAGTCATTGCTCCAAAATAAGAAAGAGAAAAAAAATTATTACCATTCACGGCGAATTTGTCATCGGACAGCGCACAGCGCACAGCTGCTGCAGCTGCTGACGTTGACGTCGACGCCGACGTCGCCGCTGAAGCTGACGGCGACGGCAACGCCAACGTTCACTGCACAATTTGGTTTTTGTTGACATTGACAGTTAGTTACCCTTACCCTTATTGACTGTTATTACATTACACCTTGCAGAAAACATTCCCCAGCTCCATGCGGCAAATGTCGCGCGTCCAGTGGCTGACACTGGACCACACACACTTACAGCAAATACCCGAGGAGCTGGGCCACTTACAGAAACTCGAGCACCTCTCACTCAACCACAATAAGCTGGAGAAGCTCTTCGGCGAGCTGACGGAGCTGCCATGCCTGCGGTCGCTAGATCTGCGCCACAATCATCTAAAGAACAGCGGCATACCGCCGGAGCTGTTCCAATTGGAGGAGCTGACCACATTGGATCTATCGCACAATCGCCTCAAGGAGGTGCCCGAGGGCCTGGAGCGCGCCAAGAACTTGATTGTGCTCAACCTGAGCGCCAATCAAATCGAGAGCATACCCCCAGCGCTGTTCATCCACCTGACGGATTTGCTCTTCCTCGACCTATCGCACAATCGCCTGGAGACGCTGCCGCCGCAGACGCGCCGGCTGATCAATCTGAAAACGCTGGACTTGTCCCACAATCCGCTAGAGCTGTTTCAGCTGCGCCAACTGCCCTCGCTCCAGAGCCTCGAGGTGCTCAACATGAGCAACACGCAACGGACGCTGCTCAACTTTCCCACCAGCATCGACAGTCTGGCCAATCTGGTCGAGCTGGATATATCGCACAATGCACTGCCCAAGCTGCCCGACTGCGTCTACAATGTGGCCACGCTGGTGCGGCTCAATCTCAGCGACAACGAGATCACAGAGCTCAGCTCCAGCCTGGACCAGTGGCAGCGGCTCGAGTCACTGAATCTGTCCCGCAACCAGCTGACCGTCCTGCCCGCCGCCCTCTGCAAGCTGTCGCGGCTGCGTCGCCTGTTCGTCAACGACAACAAGCTCAACTTCGAGGGCATCCCGTCGGGCATCGGCAAGCTGAGCGCCCTCGAATACTTCTCGGCGGCCAACAACCTGCTCGAGATGGTGCCCGAGGGTCTGTGCCGCTGCGGTGCTCTCAAGCAGCTCAACCTGAGCAGCAATCGGCTGATCACGCTGCCCGATGCCATTCACCTGCTGGAGGGCCTCGATCAGCTGGACTTGCGCGACAATCCGGAGCTGGTGATGCCACCCAAACCCAGTGAGGCCAGCAACGCGACCAGCCTGGAGTTCTACAACATTGACTTCTCGCTGCAGACGCAGCTGCGTCTGGCCGGTGCCGCAGTGCCGGCCTCCATACCGGCGGCGCCGACGCCGAAGGATGCGACGGCGCGGAAGATACGGCTGCGTCGAGGGCCGCGCGTCGATAGCGGTCAGGATGGGGGCCAGGATGCGGCCAAGGTGCTCAAGGGCATGAAGGATGTGGCCAAGGATAAGGATAAGGACGACAGTGATATGATGGCCAGCGAGTCGCTGAAGCCCAAGCGCTGGGACGAGTCGCTGGAGAAGCCCCAGCTGGACTACTCCAAATTCTTTGAGAAGGAGGACGGCCAGCAGCCGGGCCTGACCATCTGGGAGATCGAGAACTTTCTGCCCAACAAAATCGACGAAGTGGTGCACGGCAAATTCTACGAGGGCGACTGCTACATCGTGCTCAAGACCAAGTACGATGAGCTGCACACGCTCAACTGGGAGATCTACTTCTGGATCGGCAACGAGGCGACGCTGGACAAGCGCGCCTGCGCCGCCATCCATGCGGTCAACTTGCGCAACTATCTGGGCGCGCGGTGTCGCACGATACGCGAGGAGCAGGGCGACGAGTCCGATGAGTTCCTGGCGCTGTTCGACACGGAGGTGATCTACATTGAGGGCGGACGCACTGCGACCGGCTTCTACACCATCGAGGAGATGATCCACATAACGCGGCTGTATCTGGTGCATGCGTATGGGGCCAGCATACACCTGGAGCCGATGGCCGTGGCGGCGCAGTCGCTGGACCCGCGGCACGCCTTCCTCCTGGACGTGGGCACACGCATACATATCTGGCTGGGCAAGCGCTCCAAGAACACGCTCAACTCCAAGGCTCGCCTCATGGCCGAGAAGATCAACAAGACGGAGCGGAAGAACAAGTGCGAGATCGTGGTGGACATGCAGGGCGCGGAGAGTCCAGAGTTCTGGGAGGCGCTCGATGTGCCGCCCGAGGAGGTGGCCAAGCTGCCGCCGCCCAAGGAGCACATCGCCGAGGACTATACGCCAGTGCAGCCGCGCCTCTACCAGGTGCAGCTGGGCATGGGCTACCTGGAGCTGCCGCAGGTGGAGCTGCCCGAACAGAAGCTCAGCCATACGCTGCTCAACAGCAAGCACGTCTACATCCTCGACTGCTACACGGACCTCTTCGTCTGGTTTGGCAAGAAGTCCACTCGGCTGGTGCGCGCCGCCGCCGTCAAGCTGAGCCGGGAGCTGTTCAATATGCTGGAGCGGCCGGACTGTGCGCTGGTCATGCGCGTCCCGGAGGGCAACGAGATGCAAATCTTCCGCACCAAATTCCCCGGCTGGGACGAGGTGATGGCTGTTGATTTCACGCGCACCGCCAAGTCGGTGGCCAAGACGGGCGCCAACCTGACGCAGTGGGCGCGCCAGCAGGAGACGCGCACGGATCTGGCGGCGCTGTTCATGCCGCGACAGAGCGCCATGCCGCTGGCCGAGGCTGAGCAGCTGGAGGAGGAGTGGAACTACGATCTCGAGATGATGGAGGCCTTCGTGCTCGAGAACAAGAAGTTCGTCCGGCTGCCCGAGGAGGAGCTCGGCCATTTCTATACGGGCGAGTGCTATGTCTTTCTGTGCCGCTACTGCATACCTGTGGACGACGTCGATGCGGGCGAGGGCGGCGCCGAGGCCAACGGGGACGACAGCAAGTCGGCGCCGCCGGAGGACGAGATCGAGTGCGTCGTCTACTTCTGGCAGGGACGCAACGCCGGCAACATGGGCTGGCTGACCTTCACGTTCACCCTGCAGAAGAAGTTCAAGGCGATGTTCGGCGAGGAGCTGGAGGTGATGCGCATCTTCCAGCAGCAGGAGAACCTCAAGTTCATGTCGCACTTCAAGCGCAAGTTCATCATCCACACGGGCAAGCGCAAGGACAAGGCGCTCACGCCCGACGGCAAGCCAGCCGTTGAGTTCTTCCACTTGCGTTCCAATGGCGGTGCTCTGACCACACGACTCATACAAATCCAGCCGGATGCAGTGCACCTCAACTCGGCATTCTGGTTAGTAGATAGATAGCCTAAGACCATAATGAGTATTCCAATTCGAGAGGCTCTCAATGATCTGATCCCTACCTCCCTCTCTCCCTTCCCTCAGCTATATTCTACATGTGCCATTCGAAACGGAGGACGCGTCCCAGTCGGGCATCGTGTACGTTTGGCTGGGCAGCAAGGCGTGCCCCGAGGAGACAAAGCTGGTGCAGGAAATTGCCGAGCAGATGTTCAACAGTCCCTGGGTGAGCCTGCAGGTGAGTTGTCCATCAATGCTGATCATTCGTGATCCTGACTCCGCAATGCATTCACAGATACTCAACGAGGGCGACGAGCCGGAGAACTTCTTCTGGGTGGCGCTCGGCGGCCGGAAGCCGTACGACACGAATGCGGACTACATGAACTATACGCGCCTGTTCCGGTGCTCCAACGAGCGCGGCTACTACACGGTGGCCGAGAAGTGCGCGGACTTCTGCCAGGACGATCTGGCCGACGACGATATTATGATACTCGACAATGGGGAGCATGTCTTCCTCTGGATGGGGCCGCGCTGCAGCGAGGTCGAGGTGAAGCTGGCCTATAAATCGGCCCAGGTCTACATACAGCACATGCGCATCAAGCAGCCGGAACGGCCGCGCAAGCTGTTCCTCACCATGAAGAACAAGGAGTCAAGACGCTTCACGAAGTGCTTCCACGGCTGGAGCGCTTTCAAGGTGTACATTTAAGGGATGCGGACGTGCGGTGCCGTGACAGAGCAGCCGCCGGACATGACAATTTTCGACTGCAATATACACACACAAACACACACACACACCCACACACAGATACCCACACATGCATACACGACAAATAATCGCCAGCAAATGTTTGTACTTTTATAATGTATTTAATTGTTTATTATTATTTTTTATTTAGAGCCGTTGTTTATTTTATTTTAATTTTTTTTTATATATATTTCGCCGCCCAATTAATTAATTAACTTACCACTCGCCCCTGTCTACGCAAAGTATTCTTTTTATCTTGAGATATGTTTACATAGCTTTTGTATGTACTACTTATACATATACATATATATATTATACATATTTATATGCTGAGCCGGCGAACTTTTTGTGCTAGTCTTTGAAGGTGTTATCCTCAGAAATCGAAGTGTTAACGAAACGAAATCCAAACAATTGCTAATTTGCACAATGTCTTGCTGCCTGCAAAAATTCGCCAACTAATTGTACAAAATCATATTTATTGCAATTAACCAATTATACAAAAATGAAAGTGAATAAAAATGCCAATTGAAAAATTAACTAAACAATTCTCGCATTCATTTTGAGTCGCGCGCAATGCATTCCACAGCTGGCGGTGCCAGATCAATCAAGTCACGCATTTCATCTGACGAGATAGCATCCAAAGTGTGTAAATAATTGAATTGTCTGCAGTCGATAGATACATATGCACTCAGTTCACAATTTTAGCAATTATTTAGTAGAAAATTCCAGAACATATTCAATTTATATGGGAGTCTACTCAAGCATAATATGGTCTGTTGTGGAACAAGTTCAGGTTATAAATTGCTGCTGTGAATTATCAGAACTAGAAATTTCTCAGAATTTAGGTCTTGTTACATTTGGTTGGTTTTGCATTTGATTTACCAACCGCCATTAGCATTTGTATTATCGCGCTTATTCCGATACAAATCAGCGCATATCGATACATCGATGGATGATTTTACATCACTGCACAACGGCGTCGCTGTCATTTTGCAACAGAGTCGGAATCCGCGTTTATTCGTTTTGCCTCTCAATTTTTGTAAAAGAAAATTGTTGCTGCTGCGGTAAGTGAATTACAGATTTGCATCCATAGGCAGAATGTATCGGGTTTAAACTAGCTGGGGAATCATTTCATTTGTTGCTGCACTATTTTGTGTGCTTGTTATTTAATTTTTTTCTTTTGCGTGTGGTTTTCGCGCTTCGTTCGTTTTTGTGCCAAAAGTTGAGGCGGCTCGAGCAAAAGTGTGGATGTGCTTGTGTCCGTGCTTGTGCTTGTGGTTGAGGACTCTGTCAAGTATCTAAGAAGCAACAATTGGATACATTCAACACACATACACGCACACAAACGCACACGCACACTCGCATACACACTCACTCAGAATGGATCTGTTCGACATGGTGCGCGCTGCACCACCACCACCCGCAGAAGGTGAGAAGAATGAAGCTGAGGTGGACTCGGATGCTAGCCCTAAAGTAAAAGCCTTCTCGCCATCGTCGTCGCCAATGCCAATGACGCCATTATTCAATTTAGGTACATATTGCATAGAAACCCACTGCGATGAAATTGAATACATATAAATTTCTTACAGAAGATTCGGACACTGAGACGATCCCACGTTCGCCGCTGGTAGAAGACGCCACAACGCCACCACCACTTATCATATCTCTCGACATAGGCTAGTTAGAACTAAAGTTCAATTATACTACAATTATTAAGAGTATTCTTTCCACAACAGACGACGAAAACACTGAAGACGGTGGGAGCAGAGCGAAAAATAAAACCAAATTACAGGCATCTAAACGTACATCACTCAAGAAGACCTATAAAGACTCTGACGAAGACTCCGACAAAACCGACGACTTTGACTCCGACGACTCCGAAGACGAAGTCAAGAAGAAGAACAATGTGAAAGGCATCGACAGTGACAATTACAGTGACAGTAGCAGTGGCATCAGTGACGACGAGGAGGATGAAAAGAAGAAGAAGAAGAATCTGAAGCAAAAGAATCAGAAGCAGAAGGAGGAGGACGAGGAAGAAGAAGAGGATCAGGAAGATCTACTGCAAATACAGCCGCGCAAAACAAAGGGTGAGCAAAAAATGTTTACAGATGCTACAGCGGCCTCAAAGAAGCAGACAGGCAAAAAAGCCAGCACTACTGGCGTCAGACGTTGCATGGTGCGCATTAAGCGCTTGACACAGTCGCAGATTGACTATCACACCAATGCCAAAGGTAAGGGCAAGGGCAAGGGCCAAACCAAAGCTAAGGCCAAAGCTAAGCCCAAAGCCACAGAAAAGAAAGGTAAAGGCAAAGACATCAAGCACAAGAAGCCTCGCAAGCGCCAAGCGAGCATTTCGGATTGCTCATCTGTGGAATCATCTCCATCGTCGGCCAAAAAGCCAAAGTCCAGCAAGGCCAAGGTGCACGTCAAGGTGCCCTTTCAGCAGAACGGCTCGACGCCGCGATCTTCGCTCAATACATCACGCGTGCACACACCGCCGCCAAGCCTGAAGAAATCACCCAAAAGACTCAAGCCATTGAAAGCTAGCAAAGCGATGATCAAAAAGTATGGATCGCGCTTCTTTAATTGCTATGTAAAGATGAAACGTTTGAAGGATCCGGACGTGAGCAGCACATCCAAGCGGGCTAAGCGCAAATCAAAATCGAACCTATCTGTCTCATTTAGTGAGGCCGTCGAAATACTGGGCAGCAAGCCGCGCAAGTCTTCGTCCATTGCCGGTGCGCTCAAGCAGACCACAAATCTGAATAGTTCGGTGCCAACGCGCTTGCAGCGAGTCGATGCCACTGGGAATGTGCTCGAGGACATCGAACTGAAGCCGGATACGGTATTGAAATCGTCGAATAGCTCCGGGGGCCAAAGGAAGCGCGGCCGTCAGCCCGCTTGCAATGGCGGGAAGCGTAACGGTAACAAACTGAAGCGTCAAGCTGTGCGTGTGCCAGTCACTGATTTGGCTAGCCTGCGCATCGATGACAGCCAAGATGAGGAGGAGCCGGTAGACAACGATGCTGGCGAGGAATATATTGGTAAGTTGGGGTCCTTGTTGGCGCAGTGCTTGATCAATTGGACTAAACGATTTATCCTGTTGCAGTGCCCAACGATATGCCCACTTGTAAAACATCGGGCGTGCATCGCTCTTACACCCCGACGCCGCAGAAGAGAGTGGCCGTGGTGACAACCACAGTTAGTGATGTGGAGGATGCGGATGAGTCGCAGCCACAGTGTAAAATGAAGAAGACGGCTGCATCGGAAAATAAGAATAAGAAAGAAGAGAAAGCTGAGTCAGAGGACGAGAAAAAGGAAGCGGATGAAACTAAAGATTCGGATGAAACAGATACGGAACTAGAAAAGGAACAGCCAAGCCCAGAGAAGCCACAGAAGGCGAAGCAGCCCGAGCAGAGCGATTCATCAAATAGCTCGCCTCTGCTGACAGTGCTAACGGATGATGTTACCACAGATGACATATTGGAGATTCAAGCATCTATGGAGGATGTGCGTGAGCTGCACACACCGCCATCTAGACAGGATACGCCGCTGCTGTCGCTGCCATCGTCAGCTACTAACAATCGTGACCAGCGCTCCGAGTCGCCGGAGTCAGAGAGCAGCTTCAAATCGGCCGATGATCTAGAGAGCAGCGTTGCCATCGAACAGACATCATCAGTGCAGTCAGCATCGCCAGGGCGCCAGGCCAATACATCCGACTCGTTTGTCGACGATCAGTCGACATCACGGGCTGGTACACCCAGCACGCGCGGTGAGAATCAGCAGTCGATGTACGCGCCGATTATCGATATGCCGAATCTAGATGATGACCTCGGTCCTATTATAGGTGCGTATTATGCATTTTCCTTCTAATTACATATTATTTAATTTTCGATTGATAATTTCTCCAATTGATTGGGCTTTAATCTTGTATTGGTCTTTCGTGTATTGTAGAGCCCAATTTTCAAATGGCCAACAGCCTCAATTCAAATTCTAGACTTACAATGGAGGATATTTTGACAGTGTTCGAGACTTAGACAAACCCAACGAGATGAACGCGTCGCGTAGTAGGTTAATGACAGCACACTATTTTCTGTCTCGCTCTAAATGCTTATCTGTACATATTTATGCGTGCACTTCGTTCGCGTGTGCAAATGTGTGTGTGTGTGTGTGTAGCGTGTATTTCCATCTTGCATGCGCATAGTTTGCCATCTCTGTTACTGCACGAAATGTTTCAGTTTTTCATTGCCTTCGCTGTTACTGTTGCCGTTGCTGTTATGTTTCTAGTTAACATAACTTCAATAACATTTCGCAATAGTGAGTGATTTTCACATGCCTGAAGAGGAATTCCATTTTATGATCTGCTCAAATCAAACTATTTTACAATTATTTTACACTTAATAGTAGCAGGAGGCGAGTTATGCTTCTAT